CCTTCTCATCCTCCTCCTCCTCCTCATCCTCCTCCTCCTCCTTCCTTTCCTGCTCCTCCTCCTGCTCCTCCTCCTGCTCCTCCTCCTCCTCTTCCTCCAGGTGGCTTGGCGCGGGCACCGCAGCTGTTTTGCCCCGCGGCGGGAGCCCGCCGTGCCAATGCCCCCAGCGCCAGGCCTCTCCCCTGGCGTGTCCGCGGATGCCCCTGGCCTCGCCTGGAGCTGCTGATGCGATTCATGTTGACAGCGCACGTGCCGCCTTCCTGTGCGGCCACGCTGTCCCGAGCTGCCCGTCGCCGTGCCAGGGCGCGGTGCACGGCGGCGCGCCATGCGCAGGCAGCGGCCGGCGCCATCGTCGCCCTGCTGCAGCCACGGGACCCGCGAACGCCGGCTGTGGACAGGGCTCCACGCATGGACGCGCTGGAGACGCTCACCAGCCTCTCCGCGGCCGCAGCGGCCAACTTGGCTGCGCAACGGATCCGCACCGCCGCCACGGTGCGCACGCCCCTTCGTAGCCAGGCTGCTGTATACTACCCTGCTGGTCCTCTCGCCTCGCTTGACATTGACGGCTCCGACGATTTTGCCTCGCGCTTGTCGGGCAGTGGCGTTGCTACGGGTCGTGGGGGTGTTGTCCCTGGAGCCGCGGTTCTGGGTACTACTCACGCTGGCCGTGCTGCTGCTGTCCCACGTCGTGGCTTTCTCGAGGACCATCCCCGTGAAGTGCGTGACGGAGTCCTGGACCCCCTGATGGCGCCCCTCCACGCCCAGTTCCTGGGCCGCGTGGGCGAGTTTTGGCCCGCGGCCTTGGCATGGCGTTCCTCGGCCACTCCCTGGACCTCCTGGGCGCGTCTTCAAGGTTGAGCCCCAATACATTGTTCGAGATGCCGTCCCTCGTTGAGTCCCTGGGCCTCGCGGGCGTCTCTTTTGTGCTCGGCCGTGGAATGGTGCTCTTCGCCCGCTCGTCGGACCTCGAGGGCGCGCGTATTCAAGGCTGGGCCACCACTCAATGGCACCAAATTGGCACGAGAGGGTCTCAAGGTACTCAGCGGTGGTACTGCTTCCCACGTCGAGGCCTATAGAACCGCTCTCGCTCATGGTGCGGCGGCGGAGACCACAAGCGGCGACAACCTCTTCAGTGGCATGGCGTACAAATGGGCGTTGTGCGCTGAAGGCCTGCTGGATATTCTCTGCCGCCCTAAGCCTAGTAAGGCGGACGATGATGCGCCGACGAGTGCTGAGCCGCCTTGGACAGGATGCCTAGGCACTGCTTCAGATGACGTCAGGTGCTCGCTTCGTCGTGACCTTTGGCCCCAGCGACCAGGGAGTGGCTTCGGTGGGCTCCCCTCGCCTGGAGGGGGGCACAGCCTGGCGGATGGCGCGAGCTGTGCCGTCCCAGGTGATGCCGCACACCTGGTCCACGGGCAGGAATCTAGAGGGAGTGGCTTCGGTAGTCCTCCTGCGTGTTGTGGGAGGCACGGCCTGGAGGATAGCACGAGCTGTGCTGTCCCAGGTGACGCCGCACAACTCTGCTCCCAGGGAGTGGCTACGGTGGACTCCCCTCGCGTTGAGGGGGGCACAGCCTGGAGGATAGCGCATAGCACTGTCCCAGGTGATGCCGCATACCTGTTTGGAGCTCTGGGCTGACGCTTTCCTGCGTGCCTTCGCTTAGGCCGCGACGCGAGAGAGGTGCACCATCCTGAGTGCACCCCGCGTCGGCACCTTCGGCCTTGTCACTGCTTTCTTCTGTCTGTGCAGCTGGTACCCGTGATCCTTTCGGTGGGGTCCCAGCTTTTCCGCAGGCCAGCCAGGCTGCTAACAGCTTGGCGCCTCAGGAGGGCGTTCGTGCACCGCGCGACGCTTCCCTTGGCAGTGCCGTATCCTCCTCTTCCTCCTCCTCCTCCTCTTCTCCTCCTCGTCCTCGTCCTCCTCCTCGTCCTCGTCCTCGTCATCCTCCTCGTCCTTCTCCTCCTCCTCCTTCCCCTCCTCCTGTTTCTCCTCCTCCTCCTCTTCCTCCTCCTGCTCCTCCTCAGCCTCCTCTCCTCCTCCTCCTCCTCCTCCTCCTCCTCCTCCTCCTCCTCCTCCTTCCCCTCCTCCTCCTCCTCCTCCTCCTCCTCCTCCTCTTCCTCATCCTCGTCCTCCTCCTCCTCCACCTCCTCCTTCTCCTCCTTAGCCCTGCCCGCGGAGAGTCATGTATGACTGGGCAGGTGAGGCACGACGACGCCCTGCGAGCACTGGATTGTCGGAGCCGAGCATCGGTAAATTGGATTGGATCGGACCAGCGGAGGTCGGTATCGGATCGTACGGGTCGGATCGAAATCGGCCCTGCCTGAGCGCATCCAGCAGGTCGCGCTTCCCCGCGGCGACGATCACCGGGTCGCCGTTGCCAAGGGCGTCCTTAGAGGCCTCCCACATGGGGTTCGAGTAGATGGGGTCAGAGAATCGCGCCAGCATCGACGATACATCTGCGACGAATCGGCGACGAATCGGCGATGCATCGCCGACGTCGGCGACGGCGACGTGAAGCAAACCGGGATCCACATCGCGACGGGGCGCATCGCCGATGCATCGGCGATGTGGAGCGAGCCGTCGACCCCATCTATCTCGATCCCCCACCTGGGGAGGCCTGGAGTCCTGTGCCACCTTCAGCTGGTCCCGGATGCACTTCTCCATGCGGGCGAGCTGCTGCAACTCGCGGTACCACGCGGTGCGGTTCTCCCGGAGGGAGACGGCCAGCGACTCCGGGAGGCCCCGGACGGCGGCAACGGGCGGCTCTGTTTGCTCCAGGCCTGGAGCTGTCTCTGTCTCTCACTCGCTCTCTCTGCACTCGTCGTCCTCCTCAGCCTCCTCTCCCTCGTCCCCCTCGTCGCCCTGCTGCTCCACCTTCTTCTCCTCCTCCTCCTCCTCCTCCTCCTCCTCCTCCTCCTCCTCCTCCTCCTGCTCCTCCCCCTCCTCCGCTCGTTTTCCTCATAAGTGCCTCCTCCCTGTCCCAGCCCCGCATGTCGGCGGGGCGGGCTGGGCGCTCCGCCCGAGACCCTATCACCACTTCTCATCCTGAAATGATAAAAATCGCAACGCTCACACACACACACACACACTCACACACACACGGAAAGGAGGCTCTCATCCTCCTCCTCCTCCTTCTCCTCCTCCTCCTCCTTCCCCTCCTCCTTCTGATCCTCCTCCTCCTTCTCCTCCTCCTCCTCCTCTCCCCTCCTCCTTCTCCTCCTCCCTCCTCCTCCTCCTCCTCCTGTGCTCCTCCTCCTCCTCCTCCTCCTCCTCCTGGGGGCTGATTTTCAAAATAGAGCTCTCGCCTTAACGCCGCGCACGCAAGTCTTGGGAATCCCGCCAGCCCTCTGGGCGCATGTGGTTTAGCAAGATAATTATTCCAAGCTTCAAGTGAACCTTTGGGGAGAGCTCTACCCCCTTTTCACGAGGATGGGGCATAGGTTGCTCCCTACATGGGGCTCTGGCCTGAGCGCCGCGCACATTCGACTTCTAAGCTTGCAGCAGCAACAAGGATGACGGAGGGGGGAGGTTCAGAATGGAGCTGTCGCCTTAGCGCCGCGCACACGCGTCTTGAGAATCCTGCCAGTCCTCTTGGCGAATGTGGTTTAGCAAATTAGTTCCTTCAAAACTCAAAATGCACCTTCGGTGAGATCCCGACACCCATTTTCACGTGGCTGGAGAACATGTTGCTTTCAAAATGGCGCTCTCGCCGAAGCGTCCCGCACATTCGACTTCAAAGTTCGCGGCAGCTACAAGGACGACGGAGAAAGGGGGGGTCAAAATGGAGCTCTCACCTGCGCGCCGCGCACGTTCGACTTCAATGCTGGCAACACGTGCTGGTATGGAGGCGCCTTTTCAAAATTGGGCTCTATCTTTGATCTCGCTTTAGCGCCGCAATTAAGGGAACGAAGAATGACATAATCATAAAACACGGAAGTCCACACGGATTTCTCGGATCGGCGCTGGACCCCCCTCCCTGGGGCGCGGAGCGCGCCAGTGGCGGCGCCGGAGGCGCCGACGGGGGGCTCCAGCGCGGATCCGAGAAATCCGCGCGGACCTCCGAGATTCTCTGTTTATGCAAATTTTTTGTTCCCCTAGACTTAGCGCCGCAATGCTGGCAACACGGGTTGGGAGGCATGCCCGCGCCTTTTCCAAACAGGCCTCGATTGAAGTCGGGCCTGTCCCCCTACAGGGGGATTTTGGACGAAAAATCAAGAGTACTCAAAAAATAACCCCCAATGGGCAAAAATAGAAAACAAAAAAAAAAAAAAAAATCGTGCCCTGACTATTCTTCGACTATTTCTGAATATTCCTCCTGTAGAGGGACAAGCCCGACTTAATGCTGGCAGCACGTGTTGGGAGGCATGCCCGAGCCGCGCGGGCGGGGGACGGCTCCTTGTTCAAACGGGGCGTGCGCTGGAGGAGTCCGCGGGGAGGGGGAGGGGTAGGAGGGGTAGGAGGGGGAGGAGGAGGAGGAGGAGGAGTGAGTGAGTGAGGCAATCGCTAAGCGAGTCATATAACTTTAATTACGACCTCTCTCCCCACTCAGAAGGACTCGAAGGCGTGATTCCTGACCTTGAAGTAGTGGAACACGAAGATAACCACAAACTTGCCAAGGAGCGAGCGAAGCACGACACCACGGAACGTGTACTTCACCATATTGCCGAAAGACTCATGTTCCTCGCAACACATTCCACGAGCCCACCAATGGTAAGGAAACACACTCAGAGCGAAGACTGCTTAACAGGCGCGAATTTGATTCTATTAGGCCCACTACAGAGGTTGGCAGCCCAGGTTGCGAGCCAGGGATACACCACCACATGGTCATCGGGCATCCTCGAAAGAACATCGCCTCCGCCACCCGCCTCGCACCCTTGCACACCAGAGACGCAATGCAACCAATAAGGTGAGGCAAAAGAAGTAGTACCCATGATATGCACCAAAATTACCCCATACTTGAGATGCCAGTGACTGCGATAGCACCAGAGGCACCGCCCACAACTAACAGGGACACATACACCCCCCGTGCGGTGATGGGGGAAAACGGCACTGTAAATGATGGCACCAGCAGCGACAACTACAGGTAGCATACACCCCCCGTGCGGAGGTGGGGGAATGCGAAACTGTAACTGACGGAACCAGCTGAAGCCCAGGCCGTGTCTGAGAGAAATTCGCACTGTTTAGCCACCAAGTGGATGGAGCCGACAGGTTTCACCCGACAAGGTGCCACTCAAGCACCGCGATGAGGTACAGTGCTGGAGGGGCCATGAGCGAGTTGGAGCCAAAAGACTCGACGCGCCCGGGGCCCCCCGCTGTGCTTGAGAGGAGGAGGAGGAGGAGGAGGAGGAGGAGGAGGAGGAGGAGGAGGAGGAGGGGAGGAGGGGAGGAGGAGCAGGAGGAGGAGGAGCAGGAGGAGGAGGAGGAGGAGGGGGAGGAGGAGGGGGAGGAGGAGGAGGAGGAGTCCGCTGTTCAAGGAGCGGGTGCAGAAGGGGACACGGGCGGAGCACACCTTCTGCTCCGAGTTGCCCGAGAGCTGCTCGAAGTGCATAATCCCAGAAGTGCAGGCTGGCGCCACAATTGACTGATATTGACTGCACAGACGGCGGGGCAGTGGATAAGGAAGCACTGGACGAGGAATCCAGGGTCTGGAGGCCGGTGGAACTCCCATCGAGGCTTGGCCATGGATGCCACCGCCGCCCTCCTCGGGCAAGGAATCCCTCCAGGGCCTGCAGCCTCCTGGGCGCATTCCTTCGCCAATGCCCCCGCCGTATGCCGGGCAGTCACAGCACGTCCCGCCTCGAGTCTCGGGTCACGCGCCGGAAGAGTGCGAGTCCAACTCCTGTCCGAGGCGGGGCTCTCACCGGAGCGGAAGGCCCCCGGTCTGCGGGTCGTTCCAGGGGGGCCTCCCGTCGCAGGGGAGGGGGACGCCTGCAGGGACTCGTATACACTTTTCTCGATTTGTGCGTGACATCCCTGCGCAGGGGCCATGCTAATCTTCTCTGCGTCGTTCCAACTTCAACGGGTGATCCCCGAATGGAATCCGAAGCCTGAAGGGGCTTGCGGAGGGCGGGGGCGGGGCTCGGAGCAGGGCGGGTGTGCTGCAGCCTCGCTGGTGCCTCTCGGCCTGGCCCTGGTCCTGGCGCGTGGCAGGCAAAGCATGCTGCTTCTCGATCGGTGCGTGCCATCCTTGCGCAGGGGCCGTGCTACTCCCCGCTGCTTTCCGATTTTCGATGGGGTCTCCGAAGGGGGTCCAATCGGGATCACTCTGGTCATGCTTCCCTCCTCCTCCTCCTCCTCCAACTCCTGCTCCTCCTCCTCCGGGCCCTGTTCAGAGGTGATGGCGCGCTCGGGTCTGTCGTCGTCACTGGTGGCGTCGCCCTGCATCGTCACTCGCAGGGCGGCGAGGATCGCGTTGACAACCTCGCTGATTGTGTTCACCAGGGCCTGGCTATCTTTGCTTTCCTCGTGCTCCTCCTGCTCCTTCTGCTCCTTGTACTGGTCGTCGTCGTCGTCCTCCTCCTCCTCCTCCTCCTTCTGCGCCACTCTCCCGCCAAGGCCTGGATCTCTTCGATCTTGCTCGTGAGCTGCGACTCCTC